CAGTGAGATGTTTGGGCGCTGAAGTCGCCATAGCCAATTGAGAGTGAACTCGTATCTGAAAGCCATATCTCTGAGTTTTGAGTGGGCGCATGTCGGACCTGACTCATATCATCATCATCGCGCATGTGACAGAGAAGGGAGGCCGCATACACAGAGAAAAAGGTTTCCCCACCCCTTGAGCACCCACATGGGAGGTATACCACAAATGATGGGAGAGAAAGGGTGAGACAAAGATGGAGGCGAGGGAGTAGACCGGAGTCGAATACATTGTTGTCCCTGTCAAGTGTCCAACCAATGTCAACCCCAAGAATGTCGAATCAGATCCTGGGCCGTAATAGCTCTGCCTGTAACCTTCCTCTCTCTCTCTGAAGAAGAAGAGGAAGAAGAAGAAGAAGAAGAAGAGCGGTGACTATGGAGGTTGGAGTCAGGAAGAGGGAGAAGAAGAAGAAAAAGAGAAGTCTCCTCTGTCTCTCCCTCACCTGCTACTGCTGAAGTCCCGCCGATACTGACTGGTGCAATGGCGCTCTCTGATGCAGGTCGCTGAAGTGCAGTCCAAGCTTTGGCGCCCAGGTAAGCAGTCGTCCAGCCAGCGGCTATGGCTCCTCAGCCTCCGCTCTCTCACTACCTCCTACTCCTCTACCTCTACCTCTAGCGCAGCACTCCAGAGTCGCATGCTGCTCCAACAGCGTGATGCTCACAATGTTGCCCAACTGAAATCTGTCGAACTGGACTGCCCTCCACTAGATACAGTGTTGGGCCTGGCTGGGCAGCCCACGGTCTGCATACAGGAGCGTCCAAATCTAAGATCCGATCAAAGGCTCTGAATGCAGGCCCAAATCCTCCTCCTGGTGGTATCCTGCTGCTAAAGCAGGCCCTACCAATTAGGGGAAAGTCTGGCACGACACACCTGCAACCAACAAAAATGGACCAGACAGCAAGACTCAACAAATAAAGAAATAAATAAATGCTGAATCAAAAACAGACAGCAAGACTTAGCAAAAATATTAGGGGAATAAATAAATGCTGAACCGAGAAAAGACAGCAAGACTCAGCAAAAAGATAAATAAAGTTATAAATAAATGCTGAATCGAAAAACGACAGCAAGACTTCAAACGGTTTTCACCTTTACGGTAACAGATGCAGATCCCAGGACTCGATCCCTAGACCTTACCTCCCCCATGTACAGTACCAGGTAGACCTCTCTGTGTTTTGAACCTGTGACCTGCATTTTGGTAGCCGCCTGTTGTCTATCGTAGGTCTGTGTAGTTGTCTGGTCTTGAATTGTAGGTTTGTCAAGTCGAGGTCATAGCTGTGTAGGGGTCGTAGTTGTTGCAACTCTGAAAGGTCAAGGTCGTAGCTGCTACAGTCCTGAAAGGTCAAGGTAGTAGCTGCTACAGTCCTGAAAGGTCAAGGTCGTAGCTGCTACAGTCCCGAAAGGCCAAGTCCACAGACTTCCGGAAGGTCCGGAACTGGCCTTTCAAGTGTTGCTCACATTAGACCAGAGGCAAGTGGGCAAGTGGGTAGTCCACCTTTGCTTAGGCAGCGGTACCCAGTCCCAGTCTCAATTTGTCCAGTCAGCAAATACTATGTGGGACTGTGTGCACCATGGGCGCGGTGGAAAGGGGCAGACCAGCAACCAACAAAAGTATAAATCAAGAGGAACCATCCAGCCATTCATTGATTCTGCTGTGTGCCATGCAGAAGCGCTGCCCTAGCGTTTTGTGCGAGGTGGTTTGCAGATGCCCGAAGTCGAAGTGGGCTGAGAGGGAGATAGAGCAGCCATCGCTGCTTGTAGTTAGTGTTAGAAGGCGGCCATAGCTACCACAGTTAGCGAAAGTCAGTAGTGAATGTGTGTTACATGCTGAGAGCCTCCACACGGGCCCCTCACGGGACCCGAGGTTGGATAAGGGCCCCCAGGTCGCGTCACCGCAACCTGGAGGCCC